TGACTGTATAAGACAGTATCTGGTAATGGTTTAAAATATATAAAATTTAAAATATATGATAACAGAGGCATTAAGGTCAAGAGAGTGGTAAATGGAGGTAAATTGTTGCACAGACTTTGTATTGTCCTGGAAGAGGGTAAATGTATTGCTAATAGTAAACTTTGATACACTAAAGATTCATGTTGTTAATTTCTAGTTAACAGTTAAAGAATGGAAATAGACTGTATAAATTCTAAATTAATAAAAGGAAAAATGAAAAAATTTAAAATAATCAGTAAACCTAAAGGTAGGAAAGAAAACAAGCTGGTCAAATAGAAAGCACAAAATAAAATAATAGATTTAAATCCAAATATATCCATAATTACATTAAATGTAAGTAGACTAAATGTTTATTAAAGTTCAGAGACAAAGATTATCAGGATTGGAAAAAAATCCAATTATGTACTGTTCATAATAGACACATCTAAAACATAAGGTTGAAAAGTTTGGTACAATATATGTATATCATGTAAATTCTAATGAAAAGAAAGTTAGTATAGGTTTTTCTTTTTTTAAGCAACAGAAATTTGTTGTCTCACAGTTCTGGAGGCCAGAAGTCTAAATTAGGGGTGTCAGCAGGGCCAGGCTCTCTCTGAAGGCTCTAGGGGAGGATCCTTTCTTTTCTCCCCCAGTTTCTGGCAGCCCCAGGTGAGCCTTGGCTTGTGGCAGCATCATTCCAATCTATGCCTCCATCGTCACATGACCATCTCCCTCTGTATCTGTCTCTGCATCTTCCCTTTTTATAAGGACACTAGTCATACTGGATTAGAGACCACACTACTCTAATATGACCTAACGTTAACATAACTAATTACATTTGCAAAGACCCTGTCTTAGTTTCCTAGTGCTGCTGTAGCAGCAATACCACTAGTGGGTGGCTTTAAAGAACAGAAATTTACTTTCTCACAATTTGGGAAGCTAGGAGTCCAAATTCAGGACACCAGCTCTAGGGGAAGGCTCTCTGTTGGCTCTGGGGAAAGATCCTTGTCTCCTGGCATTCCTCAGTTCTTCGGTGATCTTCGTGTGGTATCTGTCTTCCCCCATTTGTGCTTACCTCTGTGTCTAATCTGCTCTTTTTTATTTTTATTGTGCTTTAGGTGAAAGTTCACAGCACAGATTAGTTTCTCATTCAAAAATTTATACATAAACTGTTTTGTGACATTGGTTGCAATGCCCACAATGTGTCAGCACTCTCCTCCTTTCCCTTTACACCCCAGGTTCCTTATGTCCATTCATCCGGTTTACCTGTCCCTTCCTGCCTTCATCTTTGCTTTTGAGCAGATGTTGCCCATTTGGTCTTGTATACTTGATAGAACTAAGAAGCACGTTCCTCACATGTGTTATTGTTTGTTTTATAGGCCTGTCTAATCTTTGATTGAAAGGTGGACTTCAGGAGTGGCTTCAGTTCTGAGTTAGCAGGGTGTTCAGGGGTGATGTAGCTTTTAGATAAAAGAGAAAATGAGCTTTGAGGTAAAAACAATTACTGGAGTAAAGAAAGTCATGATTTCATAATGATAAATGGTTCAGTTCACCAAGAGGATACAAATGCTTAGTCTGTGCCCCAGCAATTAGATTCTTAGGTATATAGTCTGGAGAAACACCTTAAGGATACACGTGCAACAATGTTCAAAGCAAAATTGTTTTAGTAGCGAAAACCCAGAAGCATTTTAAATGTCTATCAGCAGATGATTGAATTAATATATTGTTGTACAGTTACACAATGGAATACTATACAGCAGAGAAAATGAATGAATTATATACTTATGTAGAGCAACTTAGGTGGATTTTACAGAAGTAATATTTATTGACTATGCAAAGGCATTCAACTGTGTGGATCATAACAAATTATGGATAACATTGCGAAGAATGGGAATTCCAGAACACTCACCTGTGCTCGTGAGGAACCTGTACATAGATCAAGAGGCAGTTCTTGAGACAGAACAAGGGAATGCTGCATGGTTTAAAGTCAGGAAAGGTATGTGTCAGGGTTGTATCCTTTCACCATACCTATTCAATCTGTATCCTGAGCAAATAATCCGAGAAGCTGGACTATATGAAGAAGAACAGGGCATCAGGATTGGAGGAAGACTCATTAACAACCTGTGTTATGCAGATGATACACCCTTGCTTGCTGAAAGTGAAAAGGACTTGAAGCACTTACTGATGAAGATCAAAGACCACAGCCTTCAGTATGGATTTCACTTCAACCTAAAGAAAGCAAAAATCCTCACAACTGGACCAATAAGTGACATCATGATAAAGGGAGAAAAGATTGTCAAGGGTTTCGTTTTACTTGGATCCACAATCAACACCCATGGAAGCAGCAGTGTAGAAATCAAAAGACGCATTGCATTGGACAAATCTGCTGCAGAAGACTTCTTTAAAGTGTTGAAAAGCAAAGATGTCATCTTGAAGACTAAGGTGCACCTGACCCATCCATGGTATTTTCAGTCGCCTCATATACATGCGAAAGCTGGACAATGAATAAGGAAGACCTAAGAAGAATCGAAGCCTTTGAATTGTGGTATTGGTGAAGAATATTGAATATACCATGGACTGCCAAAAGAATGAACAAATCTGTCCTGGAGGAAGTACGACCAGAATGCTCCTCAGAAACAAGGATTGGTGAGACTACGTCTTACATACTTTGGACATGTTATTAGGAGGGACCAGTTCCTGGAGAAGGACATCATGCTTGATAAAGTACAGGGTCAGTGAAAAAGGAAGACCCTCAATGACATGGATTGACACAGTGGCTGCAACAATGGGTTCAAGCATAACAACAATTGTGGGCACGGCGCAAGACTGGGTAGTGTTACCTTCTGTTGTACACAGGGTTGCTGTGAGTCAGAACTGACTCAACGGCACCTAACAACAACAACAGTACAGAGCCAAAGAAGCAAACATAAAAGAATATATGCATATGATTCCATTTAGGTCGAATTCAAAAAAAAGATAAAACTAAACCATATTGTTTAGGGATGCATACAGATGAAGTATAGAAAAGCAAGGAAATTATTACCATAAAAGTTAGAGTAGTAACTAGGGGATTTAATCAGGGAGGGAAATATGGCAGGGCCCTTCTGAGGTACTTGCAATGTTCTGTTTCTCGGGATAATGGCATGGTGTTTTCTTTCTATACATTGCTTTATGGTCATCAGATCACTCTTTTCTGCACTGTTCGTTTTCTAATTATGTTTAATTTACTTTTTAAAGATTATTAATAGTATATATTTGGTGGCGGGAGGGATTATGATTCACTCTTTCATTATTATACTCTTCTATTTTACAAAAATCTTAATAAATTAAATATTTGAAAAAATGAAATGAATATTCTCAGTGAAAAAGATAACAATACAGTATTTCCATCTGTGAAAAAGTCAAAAGGCTAAGTATTAAATGTGTGGGCCCTTGAAAGTAACATTGACCTCTCTTTACTTAAATTCACTCAGGTGAACTTCCAGGAATTTAAGGAAGGTTTTGTGGCAGTGTTGTCATCATATCGCAGTGATGGCCCTTCTGATGAAGAAAGTAGTTCTTTGGAACCAGGTAAGCAGATTTCCTGTTGACATTAGTTTCTTTTCATTTCTTATTTGTTACTGTTTTGAGTATAATATTCTAATTGAAGAATGTAGCAATTATGAAAACTAAATTGTAAACCCCACTTTTTTATCACTACCAAGCCATATGGTCTTGGATTTTTTTCTTCTTTCATTTCCTTATTTGTAAAATAGTGTCAAATAATAATATGGGTTATACCTACATCATAGGGTTATTGACAAGATAAAATGAGCAAATGAATATAGGGGAATTGGAGATTTTAAGAATTAAAAGTGCATTGCAGATATCAACTGTTCTTGTCATAGCCCTCTGAAGTTGGCAGAGCAGGTAAGATTGCCACTGGGCCATGGACAGACTTAAGTGTATGTTTTGTCTCAGACGATGCTGTACTGTGCTAACATGACTTATGAGAATCTTGTCACAGTAATGGGGCTAGTGGGATAAAGATAACCTTTATAAGTAGAAGTGGTGTTCTCAAGGCAGGAACCATCCCGAGGGCTGGAGGAAGCCACTGGGCTCTGGTTCAGGTCAGGAGATGGAGGGAGAGTAGCAGCAGACTCAATGGAAGAGTTTTGAAGGGAGCAGCAAATGCCAGGAGTGTCAGGTCAGGGGTGTATAGATTGTGTGGGATGAGAGTTGGAAGTTGATGACTGAAGTGCTCGTAGGTTGTGACTGCTTCATTGGTCTCAGCCTACGGGATGGCAATCACCTGACATGCTTGGTAACCCCGAGCGGGGCATATCTGATGAGGATGGATGCAACGGCTGTGGGTAAGTTCCCTTGTGAATGGGGACAGATGTGTGTAAACATAGAGGAGATGGTATTGATTAGCACAGGGCAGAGGCAGGAAGAGGCTAGGCTGAGAGGAGATATTGACTATGGGATGACAGTATTGGGATGGGCCTGGGGAAGAGGAAAGAAAAAAGGAGAGAACTCACAGAGTGTCTTCTGTGTGCCAGGCATTGAGCTTTACATACATCTTATATGTATTCCATTTAACCCTCATAAAATCTTGAAGCATTATTATACATGCTATTCAGCAAAGAAAACTGAGGCCTAGAGGTGTGAAGGGATTTTTCCAAGATCCCACAACTAGTGCATGTGGCCAAGGTTTGGGTCCAGGTTTCCCAGCTTTCAGCCCTGGCCTCTTGTACAGGCATGGTTGCTAGAACCCTGTTCTTCAGTGGATGCTCACACTGTTTTTTCCCACCTCCTCTTGTTGGTTGCAAAGATACCTGGCTATAGTGAAAAGCGCTGTGGGGTGGTAGGGGAAGGCCTGAGGTCTGCATGGCCCTGGGTGAGGCATTAATTGCTTCCTGTCACACTTAACCTTTTTTAAGTTGCGAAGAAGGTACTTGCCTTTTCTAACTCACAGAATTTTGAAATATGATTGCGTGACCATGGATATGAAAGTGCTTTACAATGACGACTGCCTAGTGTCACTGACAGCTTATGTTCTCCTCTCCATGCTAGAGCACATGGACGTCCTCTGCCGGCTGTGTGGTACTTCTAGCTTAAGACAGTATTGATCTTTGGGACATGTTCTCAGTTCCTCAAAAAAAAAACAGGAAGCTATTTTGGATTTGTGCTTTTGCTTATTGATTCCAGTTGTTTGGTTTTTTTCTTTTCTTTCGGAATAGAAGTTCAAAGCTTCCTTTACTTAAAAGGTTCATATGCCCTGCCTGAAACACTACCCCTTGTGCTGGTGGATGGGACTCTTCCCCGTGTCCATCTCCAAATAGCCATCCAAAAAGGTACAGATTCAATATTTGAATTGACTTGGCCATGATTCCCAGTACTGGTGGTCCTACAGCCACTGGGATTTACTAAGTCTGGTAAACCCAGGCTGTTTCTTTAAACTATAACCTGTCTGTCAGTTTGTTATACTGTGGTGTTGCTGTGATGCTGGAGGCTATCCCACTGGTATTTCAAATACCAGCAGGGCCACCCATGGTGGACAGGTTTCAGCAGAGCTTCCAGACTAAGACAGATTAGAAGGAAACGCCCAATGATCTACTTCAGAAGATTAGCCAACAGAAGCCCTATGGATCACAACAGAATATTGTCCAATATAGTGCTGGAATATGAGCCCCCTTGGATGGAAGGCACTCAAAATACACAGTGGCCACAACAGTGGACTCGAGCATACCAACGATCCTGAAGATCGCACAGGACTGGGCAAGGCTTTGTACTGTTTTATGTTGGGTTGCCATGAGTTGGAGCTGACTTGACAGCACCTAACAACAGCAATAACATTGCTTTATTTAAAAAGGACACCGTTCCTTTCTGCTTCTCAACTTGTGGCTCATTTTGTCCTGTCTTGCTGAGCCACCTGTCCCTTCGCCCACTCAGCTGCCCATGCTTTCATTCCTCCTCCCTTGTGTCCCTGCCTTCCAGGCTGCTTCAGGGTCTCATCTGGCCTCCTCTGTTCCATCAATGGAGTTCTGCTCCTCCTGATTTCTAATCTGATTGCTAATCCTTCCCACCATTTACCCCCAGGCTCAGAAAAACATCCTTTTGATACTCCAGGGATTACTTTCATTGTGTGACCAGATGCCCTGAATTTTGAAGAACTACCCTGATTCCTTGCCATTTTATTCCTTTCATTAAAGGCCATTATTAAACATAGAATGTAAATATATTTTAGTTTTTACCCTTGCTTAGTCTTTTCCTATAAATATACCGCTTTACTTATCAACTGTCTCGAAATCTGACATTTCGCATTTATGACAATAGTAAAAAAATCTACTATCCAACTATTTTGCACATCAACATGGCCAGTGGGACATAGAGCGCCCACTTACATTTTCCACCTCTTGGGGTTATTGGGTGACTGCTGTCCTGGTGACAGTTTGGATCTGTATAACTGTTTGAAATGAAAGACACAGACACTGCATGTCTAGTGCTGCCGTATCAGAAATACCACAAGTGAATGGCTTTAAGTTTATTCTCTCACACCCTAGTAGGCTGGAAGTCCAAATTCAGGGTGTCAGCTCCAGGGGAAAGCTTTCTCTCTCTGTTGGCTCTGGAGGAAGGTCCTCGTCATCAGTCTTCCCCTGGTCTAGGAGCTTTTCAGGCACAGGGACCCCAGGTCAAAAGGATGTGCTCTGCTCCCAGTGCTGTTTCTTGGTGGTATGAGGTCCCCATGTCTCTCTGCTCCTTCTCTCTTTTATATCTCAGAAGAGATTGATTTAAGGTAAAACCTAATCGTGTAGATTGACTCCAGCCTCTTTAACATAACTGCCTCTAATCCTGCTGATTAATATCATAGAAGTAGGATTTACAACACATAGGAAAATCACCTCAGATGACAAAATGTTGGATGATCACACAATACTGGGAATCACAGCCTAGCCAAGTTGACAGACGTTTTGGGGGGACACAATTTAATCCACGACACTCCGTTTTCACATAATGCCCATTTTGCACGACGACCTGGTCTTTGGAACCTAACCATGTCGGTAAGTGAGGAGAGGGTGTAAATACACTCACTAAGAAACCAAACCAGGTGTCCTGGTGTCAGAGGCACCATTACCTGTGCTCTGAGTGCCCTCTGGGGTGTGTGGCATGGGGGACAGGTACCTGCTCACACTCTAAAAGACACTCAGTCTGGTGGCTCATGGTCCTTCCAACCTTGAGAGTATGTGGGCCTCATGAGTTGCATACTAGGAAGCTGCCCCATTCATTTGTACCTTGCTCACTCATCTGCCACTCTTGTTTCTTCCTGCCTACACATGAACACTCTTTTCTGTAGTGATATTTTTCCCTGTTGGATGGAAGTGATATGCTTCTGGGCTGTTCTTATGAGAATATTGGGAAATAAGAAAAAAGCACGTGTTTAATTTGAGTTGAAGTGAATGGCCCTTTCTCTGGGCAGGAAAGTTCTGACTGGCAGCAACTATGAAGAAATGGTATTGTGAGGCCAGCATCAAGGGTGGGAATGGGCATTTTAACAGGCTAGGGTAAACTGAGGAGGGAAGTTGAAGGGAGAGACCTGGGCAGCAGACAGGCTGTTGGCTCCGCCACGTACTGAGCTCCAGGTGTAGCAGGCTAGTGAGTGGAGCCCCAGGGTCTGTCTCTGTGGCGGGTCTGATGATTTGAGGACTGGGTGCAGAATTAACCTCTGCATTTTCTGCCACCTGGTTTCCTACTTCCTACCTGATAAGAATGTCCCTCTTCCTACACCACCCTGAGGTGCTTCCTCAAGTGAATAAACCAGTTGCTGTCAAGTAGATTCTAACTCATGGTGACCCCATGCGTGTCACAGTAGAACTGGGCTCCATAGGGTTTTCAGTGGCTTTTTTAATAAGTAGTCACCAGGCCTTTCTTCTGAGGCACCTCTGAGTGGACTTGAACCGCCAACCTTTTGATAAGCAACCGAGGGCATAAACAATTTGCACCACCCAGGGCCTCCTCTCAAGTGAATAGGAGAGAGAAAGATGCTTCCCCACCCACGCATACCCAGATTGCACCCTTTCTAGGGAAGCCAGACCTGTTCTCTCACTCACCCTTTGGGCAGCTCCTCACGGGTCCCTGTCTCGCCTTCAAGGCTTCTGCAGACTTTGAAATGTTTTTGTCCTGTTCGGCACTTCCCATGAGTTCTAGTCACATGTCCTTAGAGTTTGCTTGGCCGTTCCCTGTTGATGCCTGTCATCCCAGCATGATTATTAATAACACCCTGGTACTTCCAAAAGTCTCCTGTGGGGTGATAGGTTATATCTCACCACACACAGTGTCAAATGCCTTAAATGTCGCACTAGCACTCCACATTCACACATCTGAAGTAGAACTCAGCACCTTCCTCCCGAAATCTTGTCTCTAGCCCCATTTTTCTGTCTCTGTCATGGTATCACTGTTCTCCTAGTTGGCTGACTTCAGTCAGTTGCCTCCTCTGAGTGACCCCAAGGTGGAAATAGATGAGGTGTCCTTAGGGAGCATAACTTTTGTTGGGGCAAGACATAAGGCACATCTGCAGTGAAGTGTTCCTCTGGTTTTCTGTCCTGGTCCTATCTCATTGGATTCCCTGCCACCTTCTCTCAAATTGGTTCCGTTCTGGTTGTTCCCTCCCTGTGAGGGCTGGGTGTGTGCCACCCCATCCCCAGTCTCTCTTCCCTGCCCTCCCCACTTTCCACTTTTATGAGAATTTGGCATTGGATCAGCATCAGTTTCTTCTCTGGCAGAGAGGTCCCAGCTACTCTGCAGATGTGGAGAAGTAAGGTGGACAGAATGAAGTGGAGAGGGACTGTTAAGGGCCTGTCTTTGCCCCAGACTTGCCAGACGTGCTGCTGAGCTTTGGAGGCACCTGCCTGGCTGTGTCTTGGCCCCACGCCCACACCCACAGTTCATACCCGCCACTCTTTCTTCGTTGTCTGAGGTGTGATCCTGGGACATGTGGGCGTGGAAGGTGATCTCCAGTCTCTAAAGCCGTATACTGTGAGAGTATTGGAGGGCTTTCTCTTTGTGTAAAAAGCTACATTTTGTCTTAGTCTTTTAATATAAACAAAAGCAAAATAGGCTTGGAAAACTTCAGGCAGTGCACAGAGTTGAAGTGAATGGCCCTTTCTCACCAGCATTCTCAGCCCCGCACCCCAGATTAGAGGTAACTGAGAGGAGCAGTTTCTCCTTCTCTTCTCCAAATTTTCTGTTGTGTGACAGCGTGCATCCACGAGAGGGTACTGTGCATCCAAATCTATGTTGGCCTTTGTGTCAGAGGACTGATTTAAGGGATTCCCCATCAAGTTCCCCATTTTCTTTTTTAGCTGTCTCACAGGCTGTCCTGCCAAAGTACGTGAACAACTCCAAGTGGTATGGTCGTCGGACCCGGCCTGAGCTATACATGTGGGAGACTGAGGCCAGACACTCAGCAGACCGGCAAGCACGGGCTAGCCTGAGCCCCCAGCTCTGTCGTGCCACCTCTCTGCAAAGTGTGGAGGTGGGTCAGACTTCTCTTTCCTACCCTGGGTGCCCAATATCGGGTAAATAATCTCTCAGTTAGTCACTGCTCATATCACACGAGAGGATGTGAGGAGAGAGAGACACATTCTTCAGAGTTTTAAGTTGCCAAAAACTTGGGCTCACGTTGAGGAATGAGATCACATTTTAAATTGTCTCTGGGTCTAATTGTCTCCAGTGTGATTCTGGCCACAGGACATCCTCCTTCAGACGTTGGGACAATGGAGAATTTTTATATAAATCATTTGTTTCTGATGCCTCCCCACTGTTCACCGCAGCCCCTTCTAGTACTGCAAGCAAACTACTTTTATGGCTTTAGAGGAGTGAATTATTAACTTGCCAAGGATATAAAGAGGAAGATGCCTTTCTGATTGCAACTTCAAGTTCAGAACTTGGACATACCAAGCCCACAGTCCCCCCTGTCTTGAATACTTAGAATATACCGAGGCCCACACACTTAACACTTTGCGAGTAACTACCTAATACCTCCCTGGGGCCTTGAGGGTTAGCTTAAACTCTCTTCCCCCAGTTCACTAAATTATTCACTTCAGGTACCTTGGGTGGCCGGCTAATGGCCAGATCCTCACTGTACTCCATGTCAACAAGCATATCCATGGTGGTGGGTCACATCGTCCAAGTTAATCGTGGACTTGTTAAATCCCTTTTCAAGGATTCCAGAGTGTTCCTGGTTCCTGCTTTCTGTGATATCAACCTCTGAAAGATGAGACCATATCAGGAACTTATCTTTAATAAGATAGTTTTGGGGTCCCAAATTGATTTGTCTATATTTTCAGTATTAGGCAAAGCAGGAAAGCAAACAAGCACATATTTAAATCCTAGTCTCTTCTCTCAGGGGTATGCTGTATCGGGGCAACACCATAAATCCAGGACATTTGCTTTCTTATTCTCTTTTTAAATTTAGATCTCAGGTGTAGAGGGTTATCTACTCCGAAGCTGATGGGAAGGAGCCCTGGTAGTGCAGTGGTTAAAGTGCTTGGCTGCTAACCAAAAGGTTGGTGGTGTGAACCCACCAGCCCCTCCGTGGGAGAAAGATGTGGCAGCCTGCTTCCATAAAGATTTACAGCCTTGGAAACCCTATGGGGCAGTTCTCTGTCCTATAGCGTCACTACGAGTCAGAATCGACTCAACAGCAGTGGGTTTGGTTTTGGTTTTGGAAGCTGATGGGGCTCCATTTTCATTGGTGCCTTTCTGCTTTTTGAATCATCTTTGATCCTCAGAAAGTGAATATGGAAGGAGTACTTTTAGGATTGTCAGTGAGTTGAATGCATTAGGAAAGTGGGGCTGAATATATTGGTGTTGCTCTGACTTGTCATTGATGTTCAAGAGTTCAAGAGTGGAGGAAGGTCCCACTGCTAAACAAGATACTTAAGCTCTGTGGGCTTCGGTTTCCCCAAGAGAAAGTGAGGAGGGTGTGGGGTGAAGACTCTCTGATCTCTTCTTGTGCTCACATGCTGGACTCCATAGGTGGCTGCTTGCTGCTTTTTTCTTTCACAGCTTTTACAGCGTTCTTGCTTCCTTTTATCTACTCTCAGATTCTAGTCCTCTAGATCCTACCTGCTTTAAAGAATACTGAGCCCTGGTCACCCAGGTATTTATTCCAGAGTCAGTCATGGGAAGTCACAATACCTCGTCAATGGTAAACTTTAACTTTGTGGTTGCTGACTCGGTCACTAAAACATGAGATTTTGACTTAAGTCACATATTTCTTGATGTCCCCATCTCCTTTCCTGGGTGTGAGCCTGCCAAGACCATTGACTAGGTGTGCTTGGTGCTTGCTGAGTACTGTGCCATTTGCAGAGCTCTTTAGAAGGACAGAGAGGTCCACTCCACCCTCTTGCCTGTGTGCTGAGCTGATGTGGTTGGTAAAGGGCAGAATGCCGAGAGACCATGATGGTACAAGGCTTGTTTTCAGGATTGTGCTTTGTGACAGGAAATGTCTGGAGCCAGCACCTAAAGAGGTGTTTTTGTTTTTTGTATTAGGATAATTTATTGTTTTTAATTTGAAGTACTGATGATTTTTTAGTTCTGTTGAGGAACCCAAGTGTGCAAAACAAGCCATGCTCCCTGTTTCCACTTTCAGGTACTTCCATTTTCAAGAAGGAGTTGGTCGGCACTCTGCTTGTGTGCAAACACGTGCACCTGCCACATCCTCACAGCATGGCCCCTGCAGCCACACTCAGAGCTGGCCCATGCTGCCAGCTGTGTTTGCTTGGTGTCCTGCAGCTTCCTTGCCAAAGGGGAAGAGAGGCTCTTTAGAATCTAAGATTTCACTCTTTAGATTTGAATCTAGACTCTCCTGCCTTTGGCACCAAGCTATTGGTTCTCTTCCTCAGCCAACCTGTCCCACCCAACAAATACCATCCTGTTTTTCCTTCGTACTCCACCAACTTTAGTATTCTTCAGAGTATTTACATCCTTTTTACATTTTTCCACAGAGTTTCAAGTCAGATGAAGAAGCTGACAGTGCCAGAGAGCCTCAGAATGAGTTATTTGAAGCACAAGGTAAACCCACGGCCTCATGCTTGGTGCTCTGAAAGCTCCAGGAGCTGGGTCGTCCGCGGTGTGGCGGCCACAAGTATAATCTCCTGGGAGAGTGCAGTGTGGGTACTGTCCCTGGTCAGCCTCTTCTCCAGGAGTGGTTAGCATGCCGTCATTATAGTTGTAAAGTCGCCACTCAGGCCTCCGCATCCACAGAGGTCAGAGGCTTGTGGCCCAGCCACAGCTATGGTCCATGAGTGCCAGTGTGGATCAGCCAGCAGCATGTCCGTTAGACTCAACCAGAAGTCCCTGCTTTGGCCTCAGGGCTCCTGGGCTGGTTCCGACGTGCCCAGGCTGGGCGCGGCCTCCTCCAACCTGGGAAGCAGCAGTCGGCGGCCTTCTGGTCTCAGCACCACCAAGGCCCTGTCTGCACCCCAAGCAGAGCATAAGACATAGTCCTGGGCCTCGACAGCCTTAGCGTGATGACTTGACGGCCCGCATGGGGACACCGCAGTTGGTCACAGTGCATCCAGCATCAGAATGCTGCTTGTGCTGTGGTGGCACCATCTGCAAGATGCGGTGTTATAAGAACTAAAGCTAGGTGCATGGACATGAGAAGAAGGTTAAATCATTACCACCTTTCTGGGTGATATAGGCATGCATATGCTTGTATGGATATAGGAACATTTTAGAAAGATACAAAAAAAGACTGTTAAGAGTAGTCCCCACCCGTACCCAAGCAGTTGTTAGATCAAATGACAATACATTAAATTAGGTAGTTAAGGCAGAAAACCTACATGATTTTCTCTTCTTGAGCTTTTAAAAGAAAGCAAATAAAATCTTCAACAGAAACCTCATGTGCAAAGTCCTGGAGGATCCCACAACACAGCTGATTGGTGAACATCAACATCTATTGTGGGCAGACTTTTGGAATAAGCCCTTTCCTCAATACTGATCACCAGAGTACATTGGCTGGGCTATTGGTTATTATTACCAAGTAGGTGTGACTGAGCTTCCTATTATATATAATCATTCCATCATATGATTCAGCCTTTAGGGGTATTCTAATTATTGAACCAAGAAATGAATAATTGGAACATAAGAAGAAATACCAGTCCTTCTGTATTGTCCTCCTAGTAAACAACTATGAATTGTTTTCCCCTTTCCTTTTGATTTCTAAAAAGAAATATCTGTACACCTACAAGATAAAAAGAAAGAGAAAAAAAAAATTAGGGGAATGAAACACTGGATCATGGACCCATAGAAAGAGTCCCATTTACCCCATGTTTCACGTGCTTAAACATAGCTTCAGTGATCAAATGTCCTGGCATACCACCCTCCCTCTTCTCTAACGGTGTCTGATCTTTTCTCTTTTTAATATTTGATTTAAACAGCGTGTTTCTTGTGTATATTACCCTAAACTGCCTCATCTTTTTTGAAGTTGGATATAAATTATAAATCATAGATGATGAATTTGGCCTCAGTTTTGACGGACCTCAGTTCGATTTTAAATGAGAATCATAGAGATCCACAAATGCATATTTAAGCATGTTGGCACCAAGGTATAATAAGTAGAGTTCATAAATAAAATAACAGAAGTGATTCTCTTTCACGAGCTTCTGGGGAAACAACAAACAGCTGTATCCCTTGGCTCACTGTGGTCTGTAAGCTGGAGGAATTGCTGGGCTTGTGTGTTCCCAAGAGGCAGGGCTGGAGACCCGGCCTGTTAAACCAGTGAGCAGTTCCAACTTCACACCCAAGGACTCTGTGTGAAAGACTGTTGTTTGAATGTTGGTCTTTTCAGCCAGATTACATAGATAGCAGTCATCTTTAGAAATACCAAAGTATCTGTCCTCAATTTATAATAGTGCAAGAGTCTCTTAATTTCATAAACTGTGATATGATGAGTTTTTTAAGTAGTTGTAAGCTGGAGCACTGGTGGTGCAATGGTTAAGAGCTCAGGCTGATCAACCAGTCGCCCCTTGGAGGCCATATGGGGCAGTTCTTCTTTGTCCTGTGGGGTCACTATGAGTCAGAATCAACCCTATGGCAACGAGTTTGGTTTTTCAGTTTAGTTGTAAACTGAGCATGGGTGCTAAAAATAGAGAGGTGAACAAGATAGAAAATTCCCTGCCTTCACAAAACTTATGGACCAGAGAGAAGGTAGACATTATGCTATACAACGAGTATTATGGTAAGAGATACGGTTTGATCCAGTACAGGGTGCTATGAAAGCACATAACCAGTTACTGTCAAGTTGATCCTGACTTATGGTGACCTCGTGTGTCAGAGTGGAACTGTGTTCCAGAGGGTTTTTCATGGCTGATTTTTCAGAGATAGATCACCAGGTCTTTCTTCCAGGGTGCCTCTGGTTGGATTTGAACCTCTAGCCTTTCAGTTAACAGCTGAGCGTGTTAACCATTCACACAACCTAGGGACTCCGTGGAAGCACCTAGTGGCACCTAATCTATTCTAGTGGATCAAAAGAGGCCTCCTGAAAGAAATGGTGTTTAAGAGGAGACCTGACAGATGAGTAGGTGTTACTCAATCAAGGTGATGGGGATAGAAGAAGATGTGCAGAATGCCTGAGACAAGATAGAGGAGTTGAAAGAAATCCATATGACTGGAGTGAGTGTTCCAGGGTGGGAATAGGTAAGCCAAGCGTTTTAGGATAAGGCTGCTACGAGTCGGAATCGACTCGACAGCAACGGGTTTTCTAAGGGCAACAGGAAGCCATGACATATTCAGAGGGGAATCAGCCCACCAACAGCTATGGATTGAAAGTCACACAGAACATTAGCATTAAGTAATCACCCCAGAATATACTCGATTTCAGATTAGAGCCTCTCACCTCATCTCGTCTGATAATGTTAAAAATACACATATATTTATTTTCCTAAAAGTAGGTTGGAGTCCCTGGGTGGCGCAAATGGTTAAGCGCTCGACTACTAGCCCAAAGGTTGGTGGTTCGAACCCACACAGAGGCGCCTGTGAGACAGGCCTGGCAGTCAGCTTCTGAAAGATCACAGCCTTGCAAGCCCTATGGAGCAGTTCTACTCGGCACACATGGGGCCACCATGAGTTGGAATCGACTCGACAGCAACTAACAACAACAAAAGTAGACGAGAGGCCAGTGCTTTCTTACTTCATACTGCCCTTCAGTGTATCCAATGTGTGTTTACTGAGTATCTGCTCTATTCACAGGCATGTACCACCATGTACTGGGCACTATTGAAGATTCAGCAAGCAGGTTAAATATTTATTGAGTGCTCACTGCCTATTGTACTATTAGAATTGTAATTACTGTAAATGAAGTAAAGGGCCTTGTTTACAGTAATCTGATGAGAAGATAGGGCAAAAGAAAGTGAAACAACCGGCCCAAAGAGATTACAAGGAAATCAGTATTCAAGCATAGAATTGTATCTACAAACAGCTTTTAAGCAGACTGTTTAATGTTTTAATAAACAGCCAAGTTGATCTTGGGATTACACGAAGGAGAAGAGAATTTTTGGTTTACTTTGATTTTGAAGTTACTATATTTACAAATGAAGAAATAATTTCAGTTTTATGTTACCAAATTACTTTTTGTTTAAAAATAAGTGCATACCATATGTCAGGCACTGTGCTAGGGGTATAGAAAGATGTGCTGGAGTAAAGAGGCTAATGAATTTATGTGAGCAACTTTGTAAACCTGTTTAATTTGCTCCTTCATACTGCAAAAAAATCAGAGGAATGTATTTCCTGCATTTTTCTTGTGACAGAACTTTGAATAAAATGGCAGAAATTTAAAAAAAAAAAAGTAGTTGCCACTGGGAAGGAAAACAGAATTTGAGGGCAAGGAAGACTTCCTTTTCATTTTAATTATCTTGCTTTCCCATATAAAGTTCTTTAATATAAAATGGTAGCCATATATTGCTCAAGAATCCTTAAGTCAGTTTGAGACAAGACCAACACCTATGGTAGAAGGTGGCAAATAATATAAGATGGTGTAGAATTAACTGCTAAATTATGTGATGCTTGCAAAAGTGAAAAAAGAGTTCAGCAAAGGGTGGGAGTGAGAGGAGGGGGCAGTGGGTCACCCAGGTCTTGGTGACAACAGAGCCCAAGTTTTGAAAGATGCTGCTGTGTAACTTCTCTAAGAAGTGGGGGCAGGCATGGTAGTCAAAACAGCCTGGTACTGGTACAACAAAAGATACATAGACCAATGGAACAGAATTGAGAATCCAGACATAAATTGATCCACCTATGAGCAGCTGATATTTGACAAGGGCCCAAAGTCTGTTAATTGGGAAAAAGACAATTTGGTGCTTCCTTAAACTAGAAGTACCATACGATCCAGTAATCCCACTCCTTGCAATATATCCTAGAGAAATAAGAGCTGTCACCCGAATTGATATATGCACGCCCATGTTCATTGCAGCACTGTTCCTGATAGCAAAAAGATGGAAATGACCTAGGTGCCCATCAACAGACGAGTGGATAAACAAATTATGGTATATCCACACAATGGAATACTACACAACGATAAAGAACAACGATGAATCCATGAAACATAACATGGAGGAATCTGGAAGGCATTATGCTGAGTGAATTTAGTCAGTCACGAAAGGACAAATATTGTGTAAGACCACTATTATAAGAACTCAGGAAAAGGTTTAAACACAGAAGAAAACATTCTTTGATGGTTACAAGGGTGTGGAGGGATGGAGAGGGTTATTCACTAACTAGACAGTAGACAAGAATTATCTTAGGTGAAGAGAAGGACAGCACACACTACAGTGGAAGTTGGCACAACTGAACTAAACCAAAGCTAAGAAGTTTCCTGAATACAACCAAACACTTCGAGGGACAGAGTAGCAGGGGCAGATGTCTGGGGACCATGCTTTCAGGGGACATCTACGTCAACTGGCGTAACAAAGTTTATTAAAATGTTCTGCATCCTGCTTTGGTGAGTGGCGTCTGGGGTCTTAAAAACTAGCGGAGCAGCCACCTAAGATGCATCAACTGGTCTCAACCCACCTGGA